AGCCATGGTAAGGAGGCTGCATGGGGCAGACCCTGAGATCCAAAACTGTATTTGCAAAGGGCTCCCCTGTTAAAGCTGAGAGAGACAGATGGTGCTGCTCAAAGGCTCCAGCTCTGCATCAGACCTTGGCTTTAGAGACCTCCCTCTCAGTCAACATCTGAGCTCTGGGCTTGTGCCCAGAAATTGCCCCAAGACCACAGGAGCCCTTCAAGAAGCTCCCGTCGCAAGCTTGGCATTGCCCTCTGCCACATGTGGGCTTCCTCAAGCCTGTCTGTCACAAACTACTTCTCTGAGTTCAGCAAGTGCTCCTTGATGAGGGAAAATGTCCCACTGCATTGCTAATTTCTCAGTTCCATTTACCTCCCAGGCCTCCTTCTCAAGTGGTTAATAAAGTTCTTCCACAAGTATTTACTGATTACCTGCTTGTACCAGGGACTATTCTCAGGCTGAAGGAGAAGGTAGTAGGGGAGGGTGGAGCCTGAGAAGCCACCCGAGCCAGCTTTATATTTCAACCATGGCTGGCCCATCTGAGAGCATCTCCCCACTCTCGCCAACCTATTAGGCATTGCCCAGGGATACTCCCAGGTGGCCCAGATGTGCCCCCTTGGCTGGCTTGTCAGTGATGACATGCAGCTTAGCTGGTGCTGGCCTGAGGGAGGGCAGGAAATCAACAGCATTTGCTTCTCTGGGCAAGTGGGAAGTTCAGTGGGGCAGCAGAATCAGCTGCATTCCCCGTGATGTGGGCCAGTGGGCCCACTCCAACCCCCCTGAGTGCAGCAGCACACTTTCCAAACACCAGGTTCTTTCTGCAGTCCTGGTGGGAAAGCCACAGAACCTTCTTCCTGCCCTTCTTAACTTGAGAACTCTCTCTCTTTCTCGGTCAAGAGCTGGAGTGGTGGCTCCATCCTCTTTGGGCCAACTTTGGTCCAGGAACTCATCTTTGCAGGAACCAGGAGTCCTGAGCACACTGGACACACCTCAGAGGGAGGATCCTTGTTCTGGACTGTGCACCTGGCTTCAGGGCAGGGATGAAGTGACCAGGCTTAGCTTGTGGAGCTTGTGGGCCCCCTGGGTTTTGGGAGATTGCCATCCCATGGATGTTCTGACCTTCCTTCTATGGAGATGCAGGCAGTGCCACTAGGGAGGAGGGGACCTGCAAAGCTGGAATCTAGGGCACTGTTTCCTCCCCATCCTCCTCTTTGTAGAGAATAGAGATGTTTGTCTTGTCTGTCTTCAACCTACTTTTCTCTTTTTTGTTTCTCATCCTCTGTGCCACCTCTCCACCCAGGAGACCACGTAGCATAGTGGAAAAAGTCCCGGAGGGTGGTTGGGAGTTCTGCGTGACCATCCTGGCTCAGCTCCTAACTCACCATGTGACATCAGGCTATCCCCATTCCCCCTCTTGGGCCTCAGTTTCCCGACTTGCAAAATAAGCAGAGAGAACCAGATGCTCTCCAGGGTCTTTTTCTACTCTGCCATCTCACAGGTCTTCATTTTCTCTTATTTTGTTTTCTCTGGATCTTTTTCATCCGAGGGTATAGGAAGTGCCAGGACCTGTTTCAGTTTTTGAATCCTACAAGCACATTCCAAGACTGGCCTGAAATTGCATGAGCAACATCACTCGAAATACTTTTTTTTTTTTTTTTTTTTTTTTCCAAAAGCACCTTAACAACCAATTGCGATGCTGTCCTGTTCCTTTTTACTCACACCCTTCTCTCCTCTCTCGTCCCCATGCTCCCCCACCTCAGTGCTCCGTGCTGTATGCGTGTGCTCTCTGTTCTTGTATACTCAATAAAAGTGAAATAAATGTGTTTGATGCCGAACCATACTTCCTTGGCACCTCTCCTCTCTCTTGTCTCTGTCTCTGTCTCTGTCTCTCTCTCTCTCTCTCTCTCTCTTTCTCTCTCTCTCTCTCTCTCTCTCTGTCTCTCTTTCTGACCTTGGCTACTGGTACAAGTTGGCATTGTGGGAAGGGCTAAAACTGAAGTGGAGACATCCCAACTTAGAACATGTTTATTCAACAAATAATTGGAGCTCAGGGTGGTCCAGGCCTTGGTGACTCTCCAGGCACAACACAAACAAGACGAAAGTCCCTGCCCTCCAGGAACTCATAGGCTAGTGGAGGAAACAGATGCCAACACAGGCTGTCAGTTACAGAGTAATCAGCACTAGGAAGGAAATACACAGGGAAAAGAGAGGGAAGGTCGCTGAAGGAGACCACTCTAAATACGGTGGCCAGGTAAGGCCTCCCTGAGGAGGCAATCTGTGAGCTGAATGAAGAGAAGGATCCATCAACAAAGATGAGGAACTCAGGTGCACATTCTTGGAGAGGGGGACAGCAAACATTCGGGCCCCAGGACGTGTAGGGGGTTGCTGAGTGGAGAAACGGCATGGTCCCTCCTCTTCCTGAAAGAAGAGTACCTACATTGGGGTCTCTCTTCCTGTAACTCTTCTACATTAGAGCCTAGTGGAAAAGAAAATACAATCCTCAACTTCAGCCTTTGCCCAAAACCTCTATGTATGTTCCCACATCCTCATACCACCTGTCCCATTATTCACTTATTTTTATTCAAATTGACTCAAGCCAAGTGCTATGGCTCATGCCTGTAATCCCAGCACTTTGGGAGGCCGAGGCAGGGAGATCACCTGAGGTTAGGAGTTCAAGACCAGCCTGATGAACATAGTGAAACCCCGTCTGTACTAAAAAATAGAAAAAAAAAAAAAAAAAAAAAAAAAAGCCAGGCGTGGTGGTGTGCACCTGTAGTCTCAGCTACTCAGGAGGTTCAGCTGAGGTGGGAGAATCACTTGAACCCAAGAGACAGAGGTTGCAGTGTGCCAAGACGGTGTCACTGCACTCCAGCCTGGTGACAGAGAGAGACTCTGCCTCAAAAAAATAATAAAATTACTAAATTGACTCACTTTAAAAGCAACTGTATTTAAAAAGGAAACTATATTGCTTCCACAAATGAAAAGTTTAGCCGGGCGCGGTGGCTCAAGCCTGTAATCCCAGCACTTTGGGAGGCCGAGGCGGGTGGATCACGAGGTCGAGAGATCGAGACCATCCTGGTCAACATGGTGAAACCCCGTCTCTACTAAAAGTGCAAAAAATTAGCTGGGCATGGTGGCACGTGCCTGTAATCCCAGCTACTCAGGAGGCTGAGGCAGGAGAATTGCCTGAGCCCAGGAGGCGGAGGTTGTGGTGAGCCGAGATCGCGCCATTGCACTCCAGCCTGGGTAACAAGGGCGAAACTCCGTCTCAAAAAAAAAAAAAAAAAAAAAAAAAAAAGAAAAGTTTATGTCATTTGCCAAGAAAGGAGGTGTTCATAAAATAAATGCAAATATACTAAAATTAAAAGCCGTCATACACGTAAAAACTAAACTCATCCCTTAGACCACCTTAAGTGCACACACCACACTTTCCTTTTATTGCACCAAGCAACTCATCTCAGGCCACTTTGCTTTATTGCTGCGAATCTCCCCAGTGAGTCTTTTCCATGTGTATGTATTTTTCCAGAGTTGAAGTCATCTTGTACATACCATTGCAAATACTTTAAAATATATATATCTTGAGCATTTCCTTATACTTTCAAATACTAAATACTTCTTTTCTTTGGAAAGGTAATTCATTAAATGATAGACTATGCAGTGAAAAGTGATTCTTTAGCCTTCTCCAGATTTCTGTCTCTTGTCAGAGGCAATTGCTGTGAGGAACATCATGAATCCTTCCCCGAATTTTCTCTGCCAGTCTCCTTTGGCAATCTGTTATCCGTAGGGCCCTGGAATAGGACTTGGTTTACAAACAATGGGTCTCCATACGATTTTTCAGGCCCCATACACCCTGATCTATATTTCTGCCTCCCATAAAGGGCCATCCTCTCTGCTTTCAGGGAATAATCAAAGGTAAGTTCACCCAGATCATTATTTTTCAACTGAGTTGAGGGTGGGGGAGTGATCCTCCTCCTTTCTCCCCAACCCTCTGCCACCCCAGGGACATTTAGCAATGGCCGTCACAACTGAGGGGTGCTACTAATGCCTAGTAGGTAGGGGCCAGGGCTGCTGCTAAACATCCTACAATGCACAGGACAGCCACCTGCAACAAAGACTTATCTGGCCCCAAATGTCAATAGTGCCGAGGTTGAGCCATTCTGATCTAAATGGACATGTAACCCAAAAGGTAGGACTCCTAGGTCACCTTCTACAGCTTCTACACCCAGTGTTCAGTCCCCTGGAGTCTCTGAGAAGAAGGTGAGCCCAACTGAAACTGGGGACTTTGAAACCAGACCACAGAGCTCAGCACCGAAGTCTGGGAGTTGGGGATGGGTGGAGAGGGAGCTGAGCTTCTTCATGCAGGAAATGAAACTTGACAGTACAGGCTGAGATTGATAAGCATGACTGTGACTGATGGAGGCTGTCTCTGGTTAGTCCTGCAGCAGCTCATTGTGATTAACCATGACTGCAGGGCCCTGTCTAGTCTGCAACCCACTAAGAGATAAATTTTGACTGAGACAGATTGGCATGTCCAGCTGTCACTGAGGAAATGTGACAGACAAGCTAAGGAGCAGCAGCACAGAGATAAGAACAGACAGGCCTTGGTTTGCATTCTAGCTCTGCCATTCTCTGGCTGTGTAACATCATCTCTGAACCTCAGTTTTCTCTTCTGCAAACTGGAAATATACATACCTACTTACTAGGCTAGTGTAAGGATTAGAAATACCCAAGTGGCCTGCCCTAAAATCACATAAGTCAATTCTTTTTTTACCCGGATGGAGTCTTGCTCTGTCACCAGGCTGGAGTGCAGTCATGCAATCTCAGCTCATTGCTACCTCCGCCTGCTGGGTTCAAGTGATTCTCCTGCCTCAGCCTCCCTAGTAGCTGGGATTACAGGCACACACCACCACACCCAGCTAATTTTTGTATTTTCAGTAGATACGGGGTTTCACCATGCTGGCCAGGCTGGTCTCAAACTCCTGACTTCATGATCCCCCTGCCTTGGCATCCTAAAGTGCTGGGATTATAGGCATGAGCCACCACACCTGGCTTCACCTAAGCCAATTCTTTGCAATAAATCACTTAATATAGATCTCCTACTGGCTCTGCATCTTTGGTGGAACCTTGATTAATAGTGCAGAGTTAGACCCACAGTATCGTCATTATTCGCTAAATGCATAATATATGTACCGAGCTGAGCTTTTGTGCCTGGCTTTGTGCAAGGTTCAAGGGAAACAGTGCAGAACAAGACAGGCAGATTCTTTCCCTCTTGTGTTGATAGCCTGATTGAGATGTCGGACTTGGCCTGCAGAAAGGACACTGGGTGATTGTGGGCAGAGGGACTGAGATAATGGCTGCTGCTGCTGCTGCAGCTGCAACGGCGCACATTGGTTCTCTGGGCTGGCGGCTGGGTTTCTGAGGCTCTCCCCGAGGGCTGAGTATGACTGGAAGCTGAGACACTGTGACCGGGATAGAGATTGGCTGACAAAGACTGTGACCGAGCGCCTGACTGGCTACTACTGGATAGCCATGGCCTTGGCAGTGCTTTAGTGACCATGACTGCTTGAGCCCAAAGTAAGATGTCTGGTGGCTGTGTTTCTGGATGGGGATATAAAATGCATAGGTTTGTCAAAGTTGTTCAAAATTCAGAAGCTAAAACGAGACACTAATAGCAAAAGGCAACATTGGATCCGGCGGAACCTGCAAGCACGGGCTATTCTTCCCGGGACCCAGGGCTCCGCCGGACCGCTCTCTCCGTTACTCCAGTCAGGCGCCAAACAGGAGAACTTCCGGTGCATTTCCGCGGTACCGGAACGCGGGGCGAGGAGGTGAGTGTGGCCTCCTGGCCTCTCTTTCGTCTCCTGATTCCGTGTGGGTGTGTGCGCGGGCGTGTGGCCGGGCCGCCCCTCTTCTCGGCTCGGAATCGCGGAGTGCCTTAAACTAGGCTCACCTAGTCGGGGCGGCTGGTTCTCTGCCTGTGGGACTCTGGTGTCTCTGGAGGCCCTTCCTGAGAAGCCGTCGCCAAGGCTTCCCGGAACACTCGGGGTTACTTCTGTTTTTTTTTTTTTTTATTTTTTTTTAACTTTAGAGCCTGGGGGCCGTAGACCCTTACTGCACCGAACCTGGCTCTGCCCTACTGTCTGCGTGACTTCCAGTGAGGTCTTCTCCCGAACTGAGCCTTTGTTTCTCGTTTACAAAATGGATATCATACTTGTATTAAATAAATATTTACTAAGCGTCTAATGTGTGCTAGGAATACAGCAGGACTCAAGTCTCGTGACTGTGACGGGCCTCAATCAAACATGAAAAACTGCAGTGGTGATAATTGAAACGGAAGGGTACAAGGCACCCCAGAGTGTGTTACAGGAGACCTGACTTAACCCCGGGTCAAGGAACCTTTACTGAGGAGGTGAATAGTGAGGTGAGATCAGAAGAAAGATTTGACAAAATGGAGAGGGAATAGTTTCCTATCTGGAGAGAGAGCCTCCAATTTCAGGTCCGAAAGGGGAACAGAGCTTGTTGGGGACCATGGTGTGAAACAAGCTAAAGGGGTTCCCAGAGGTCAGACCATGCAGACTTTATAGGGCGTAGGAAGAATTTTGGTTTTCCGAGAACGATATGGGAAACCACTCAGAGGCTGACATGGGTGATGGTGATTTGATTAGATTGGCATTTTGAAACGGATACAGCTGTCGAATGGAGAATGGATTGAGGAGCAGGCACTCTCTCAGTGAGGGACAATGGTAGCTTGGATTAGGGAGGTGGTGGAGAGACGGGAGATGGATGTGATTTTAGGTGTTCCAGGACTGTGAGGAACTCACAGAGCCGTCAGTGACAGGGGTTGGTAGACTGCAGAGTTCTGTGCATATTTAATAAACCTTTTCCTAGCATTTCCTCTGTGCCAGGCCATGTGCCAGCTGCTGGAGATATAGTGAATAGAATTACAGGCTGGTGGAATTAGAGTGAAAGAAATGTCATTATCAAGGAGGAGCACACAGATGTCACAGGGGAAAATGGCTAATTGATGAGAAGTTATTCTAAATGGAATCTCTATTCATTCAGCAAATATTAAGTACTTTCTGAATTCAGAATTACAAATAGATGATACAAATTATTTAGAGCAGTGTCTTTCAAACTTTTATGACCGTGACCTACAGTAACAAATACATTTTATGATACAACCAAGTGTACACACAAAGCTCCAGAAAACAGTACTTAGCTTTACTACTTTTGCTGTATTGTGATATTCAAAAGTTGTTATTTTCATTTTAAAAATAATGGTGGTTGAGACCTTTACATTGATTTCCTAATCCATTGATGGGTTGTGACTTGCATTTTGTGGGGAAAAAATGTTGATTCAGGGTAAGAGTCATTTGTAGTGGTTTTGGGGTAATGATGATAAAATGTACTCTTATTTTTGGAACAGGATTGGTTTTCCTTTCCACACTGTTTTTATTTATCTATTCATTTAAAGTAAAAAGAGTAAACAGGGCTGGGCATGGTGGCTCACACCTGTAATCGCAGCACTTTGGAGGCTGAGGCGGGTGGATCACTTGAGGACAGGCATTCAAGACCAGCCTGGACAACATGGTGAAATCCTGTCTCTACTAAAATTACAAAAGTTAGCCAGGTGTGGTGGTGCACACCAGTAGTCTCAGCTACTCGGGAGGCTGAGACATGAGAATTTGAACCCAGGAGGTGGAGCATGTAGTAAGCCAAGATCATGCCATTACACTCCAGCCTGGGTGATGGATCGAGACCCTGTCTCAAAAAAAAAAAAAAAAAAAAAAAGAGCAAATAAAATTAAACAGGTCAACATGCAGCAGGTTTTCTATGTGTGAAATTTTGTCATCTTGTTTGTACATCTGGCTAGATTGGAATTGCCTGGAGGGCAGTGACTCTTAATCTCTGTTGTTTCTTCGGGGGCCTGGCAAAGTGCAGGCACTCAGTCAGTATTTGTTAGATTAATCAGGTAGGTATTTTAGGACTAGAAGATTAGATACTGGTTTGTTTACATTTGTTCATGTTGGAACCATTCTTGCCAATATCCCAGAGGCACTGTCTGGGACATTCAGAAGTAGGTAAAATAACTGTACTAAGCTCTTTCTCTTCTGGCCAGCTTTCTCTTCCTAGGCTAGCTTTATCACTTGAATTCATTCTGAATGAATGATCCAGAGCCACGACTGATTGTGGGCTCTTTAGGAAGTTGTTTTACTCCCTGGAGTTTAGGTTTTTTACGAGTGAAAGAAGAGGAGATTTGTGATTGAAAAGCTCTCTAGACCTCGAACAAATTTTACCTGCTGAGCCTCCACTTTCTACCTTCTGTCCATTTCTGGGCCTTCCCTGAGGCTTTTGGGAAACTGGGTATGTACTTGCTTTAATAGTTTCCTGCAGAGTTGTAGCTTCAAATGATTAGGCATAGTTATAGTTTAGAGTGAGCCATCCAGGCATTTTCCACTCACACCTTCTGTTGTGAGAAAGAGACCTGAGAAGATACTAAGAGTGGATGGTGGACAGAAGAACAGTGGCCTGCAGGCTGGGTACCAAGATTCTATTTTGGGTCCTGGTATGACCGTGAGCATGTCACTTTTCTTTCACTGGTAACATAGCTGTGAAGTGAGTGTCTTTGCATGTTAAACCAAAACACAAATTTTTTTGTTATCGTTATTTTTTAAAGATGATGTCTCGTTCTGTCACCAGGCTGTAGTGCAGGGGTGTGATCTCAGCTCACTGCAACCTTTGCCTCCTGGGTTCAAGTGATTCTCCTGCCTCAGCCTCCCTAGTAGCTGGGACTACAGGTGCACGCACGCCACCACGCCACCACACCCAGCTAATTTTTGTATTATTTTGTAGTAGAGATGGGGTTTTACCATGTTGGCCAGGATCTCAATCTCTTGACCTTGTTATCTGCCTGTCTCAGCCTTCCAAAGTGCTGGGATTATAGGCATGAGCCACCACACCCAGCCAAAAATTGTTTCTTTTAGTTCTCGTTTTCCTCATCTGTAAACTCAATGCATGGTTGTCATGAGGATTAAGGGAAATAATTATGACAGGGGTCTAATTGAATATCTGGCACGTACAGAATGCTTAGCAAATAAAGCATCTTTCCCCACTATCTAACTCTGATTTCTTTCTTTCTTAGCTGTTCTGGAAGACTAAAGAAAAATAGTTCTTTTGGTCACCCACCACTGGCCCCATGGCTGCCATGCAAATGGATCCTGAGCTAGCCAAGCGCCTCTTCTTTGAAGGGGCCACTGTGGTCATCCTAAACATGCCCAAAGGAACAGAGTTTGGGATTGACTATAACTCCTGGGAGGTGGGACCCAAGTTCCGGGGCGTGAAGATGATCCCTCCAGGCATTCACTTCCTCCACTATAGCTCTGTGGACAAGGCTAATCCCAAGGAAGTAGGCCCTCGGATGGGTTTCTTCCTTAGCCTGCAGCAGCGGGGGCTGACAGTGCTGCGCTGGAGCACAATCAGGGAAGAGGTAGACCTCTCCCCAGCCCCCGAGTCTGAGGTAGAAGCCATGAGGGCCAACCTTCAGGAGCTGGACCAGTTCCTGGGGCCTTATCCATATGCCACTCTGAAGAAGTGGATCTCACTCACCAACTTCATCAGCGAAGCTACAATGGAGAAGCTACAGCCTGAGAACCGGCAGATCTGCGCCTTCTCTGATGTGCTACCTGTGCTCTCGATGAAGCACACCAAGGACCGGGTGGGGCACAATCTACCCAGCTGGGGCACTGAATGCAAAAGCTACCAAGAGGGCCTGGCGCGACTACCTGAGATGAAGCCCAGAGCTGGGACAGAGATCCGCTTCTCAGAGCTGCCCACACAGATGTTCCCAGCAGGTGCCACGCCAGCCGAGATAACCAAGCACAGCATGGACCTGAGCTATGCCCTGGAGACTGTCCTCAACAAGCAGTTCCCAAGCAGCCCCCAGGATGTGCTTGGTGAGAAGGAACAAGGCTCTTTGGGAGTGGGCCAAGGGGAGGATATTAGCAGAGGTGTTTTAGATTAGGGAGTACCTCTTGTGTCAGTCCAGCAGTAACTAAACCTGGCTAGGAGGCTGAAGATACAGGTGTATCTTTACCCTTAACCCTGGAGATTTTGATTCAAAAGATCTGGAGAAGGGCTTCAGCAGTTTCTGTATATCTGTCAAATAAACAGGCATCCTAGGCGTGAACCTGGTGCAGATAATTTTCTGTTTGGGAACCACTGATAGAGCCCAGTTCTACAGAAGGGAAGGATTTGGCCCACTGAGTGACTGAATTGAAACCAGAACCCAGGACTCTTGATTTCTGGGCCAGACCTATGCTCGTTGTAGCCTCTCACCTAGCCCCGCAGTTTGCTCCTGACCCTCAAGATGTTCGTCCCTCAGCAGGCTTAGAACAGAACAGTGGTTTTTTTTTAATCGTTACAGTTTTTATTGCTATCTTCCCTCTTTATTACAAAAATGATAGATATTAATCATAGAAGAAAAACAAAATTCACTTCAAATCCCACCACTTAAAACCATTTGTACATTCTGGTATATTTACATTCCTTTTTTTCTGTGTATTTCTATGTATTTCATTTCAATCTCTTCTCTGTTTATTTCTATGTATTTCCTCTCAGTCTTTTAAAAAATTTAGTATATGCATTTATGTATATATGTGAGTTTTTATAAAAACAGGATTGAAGTATATTACTTTGTAATCTGCCTTAATATAAACGTTTTTCCATGTTTTTCCATGAAACAGTCACTTTTTTAGTGGCTATTTCATGTTCATAGTTATTGGACCAGTTCTCTATTATGGACCATTGAAATGTTCCTATTTTCTCTATTATAAATATCATCTAGTGTCCAGATGCAGTGGCTCACACCTGTAATCCCACCACTTTGGGAGGCCAAGACAGGCGGACCACCTGAGGTCAGGAGTTTGAGACTAGCCTAACCAACATGGTGAAACCCTGTCTGTACTAACAAAATGAGCTGGGCCTGGTGGTGGGCACCTGTAGACCTAGCTGCTCTGGAGGCTGAGGAAGGAGAATCATTTGAACCTTGGAGGAGGAGGTCGCAGTGAGCCAAGATCATGCCATTGCCCTCCAGCCTGGGCAACAAGAGCTGTCTCAAAAAAAAATATATATATATATATACATATATCATCTAGTGAACATTCTCATGCACACTTATGTGTACATTTAGGGATAGAATCATTGGGTCAGACTGTGCATGATGCCAGGAGGTTTTACATCCTTGCTGGCTAGTAGGAGGCTATTGCCCATCACCTTCGACAGCATTGGGCATGGCAGTTTTACAAAAGCCTCTTCCAGTTGGATAGTTGAAAAATGGCACCTTGTTTCTATTTACATTTCTTTTTTTTTTTTTTTTGAGGCGGAGTTTCGCTCTTTACCCAGGCTGGAGTGCAATGGCGCGATGTCTGCTCACCGCAACCTCCGCCTCCCGGGTTCAGGCAATTCTCCTGCCTCAGCTTCCTGAGTAGCTGGGATCACAGGCACGCGCCACCATGCCCAGCTAATTTTTTGTATTTTTAGTAGAGACGGGGTTTCACCTTGTTGACCAAATACTAGTGACAGCAAATATGTGTCACATCTTAAACAGCTATTTGTATATATGTTTACAAATTTTCCAGGTAATTTGCATATTTTTCTGTCAGAAGTTCAGTGAGAAATTTGAATTTAGGACTTTTTTTTTGAGACAGGGTTTCACTCTGTTGCCCAGGCTGGAGTACAGTCACACAATCATGTCTTACTGCCACCTCAACCTCCTGGGCCCAAGCGATCCTCCTGTCTCGGCCTCCCAAAGTGCTGGAATTACCGTGCCCTGACAGGACTCTTTATATCATTGGTTCAGCTGATGATATAAGGTATATTTTAACAGGTACATCATAATGTGTTAGTATTATTATGTAATAAGTAACATTTGAAAGTCTGGCTTAAAAGTGAATAGAAATCCTGTCTTTCTACTTCTTAAACATTTCAGTTCTTCAAAATGTATCTTGTGAAAAGGTCTGTTACAGGAGTAACTTTGTTGGTTGTGGGTTTTTTTGTTGTTTTTTTTGAGACAAGATCTCACTGACATGGGCTGGAGTGCAGTGGCATGATCACAGCTCACTGCAGCCTCAACCTCCTGGGCTCAAGTGATCCTCCCACCTCAGCCTCCCAAGTAGCTGGGACCACAGGTGTGTCCCACCATGCTCAACTAATTATTTTTGGTAGAGATAGGGTCTCCCTGTGTTGCCCAAGCTTGTCTCAAACTCCTGAGCTCAAGCTATCCTCCTCCATTAACCTCTTAAAGGGCTAGAACTATCCCTGTCACCCGACCTGTGCAGGGATAATTTTGAATCAGTCACAGCTCTTTGAATTTATTTTTGGTGTTATAATTTAATTTTAGACAAGGTCAGAAATGCACAAATTTAAATGTATGTCCTAAATGCAAAGAATACCCTAATACTTAGTTTCACAAACTAACCAAGTAGAGCCAGTTGAAGAAGCAAATCATTAACCTATATTACACAAAGAAAATTTGACTGTATTTGCAAATATTGGTCAGACATCTAAAATATCTAAACCAGGTAGCTATTCACACAAATCACTTAGTTCCATATACTTAGGAACAGGGAGCTAGTTTTTCCAGGTCTCTGGAGGTGGCAGAGATCAAACGCCATACATTTGAAGAGGTATTTAGTGCTGAGTACGTCTCTTCTTTTTATGGTTCACATGTATGTATACCTCATTAAATTTACAGCCACCTTTGAAGCTAGAGAGAATGTCTGTGATCAGTAGCAGTATTTCTGCGGTAACCAGAGACCCAGTTACTTGCCCAGAGACAGTGGTGTCTGGATCATCAGGTCTCTTTGTTTGAGATGAGCATCTGATAGAAATTGGGAATATAATATTTTTTGAGTGCTACTTTGTGCCATGTGTTATTCTAAATGCTTTAAGTGTACTATATCCGTTCATTTAATCTTTACTGCAACCCTCAAATAAGGAAATTGAGGCCTTAATAGATTTAAGTAACTTGCCCAAGGTCACACAGCTGCTAAGTAGCAGAGCTAAGATTTGAATCTAGGCAGTTTGGCTCCAGAGCCCATGCTCTTAGCCCCAAGCTGCTCGTAGAGATTAAATCACACAGCGCTGTGATTAAACAAAAATAATATGGCTGGCAGGCTGACACTGGAATAAGTACTCATGAATTTGTCTTTTGTGGGAGGTTCTAGAAGTGTTCCCACCCAATAGCGAATCTGTTTTATCTTTCCATTGCCCACATTGTGAAGCATTAGATATGCGTGGCCTTGGGCAAGCCCTTGACTTCATCTATAAAATGAGGCAAATACCACCTTCCAGATTGCCTGGTGGAGTTGGGCTGAGGGTTACATGGTGTAGTGCAGCATTTCCATGACCCTGAAGCAGACCATCCGTATCAGAAGCACCCAGGAAGCTTGTTAGAGCTACAGATACAAAGGCCCCATCATCTCTTGTCAACCAAAACCTGAGGGTGAAGCTTGGGTAACTTTACTTTTAACAGTCTCTCAGTGATTCCGATGGGCAGTCAGTTTGAGATCCACTTGGCATAATACCCATGAACACATTTTGTAAACTTAAAATGCCAGGAAAATACTAGGAATACCTTTTCTCTTGCAATCTGATTTTACAGAAATCCAAAGCCACAGGTTGGTTTCCCAGGGCTTTAATTCAAAGCAGTTTAGCAAATATTTATTGAGTACCTATTAAGTGCAAAATCCCATGCCAGGCTCTGCAGAAGTGACAAGAATAAAAGGTCACTTATTGCTGAAGTCCAGTGGAATTGATGACCTTGTGAACAGTGATGGAGAGTGTCAGCTGGTTCTCCTCTCCCTCAGAATCACTTCTCTCTGCACCTTTCAGGTGAACTCCAGTTTGCTTTTGTGTGCTTCCTGCTGGGGAATGTGTATGAGGCATTTGAGCATTGGAAGCGGCTCCTGAACCTCCTGTGCCGGTCAGAAGCAGCCATGGTGAAGCACCACGCCCTCTACATCAACCTCATCTCCATCCTGTACCACCAGCTTGGTGAGATCCCCGCTGACTTCTTTGTAGACATCGTCTCCCAGGACAACTTCCTCACCAGCACCTTACAGGTGAGTAGTTGTTCTGACTGAGCTGATGCTGATGTGGGTCAGAATTGAGGCAACAGTGTATGTTTTGTTTCTTGCTATTCTTCCATGACCCGAAGATTTTTAAATTTCAGTTTCCTAATCTTGGGATATTTCCTGGTTTTCTCTCTCTTACTCAATTATAAGTGCCTCTATACCAGAAATTGTCTCTCTGTACCACCCTCTCCCCACCTTGTCCCCAGAGTGCCTAACACTGGGGTTCTTGGATTTGAATTCCTTCCATTGCTTTGGTTTACTCAGCTTAAAACAGATTTTCTTTCTCCCTGTAGCCATGAGTTGCTACAACCCAGTAAAGCAGAGTTCTGAAGCTTGTTATTCCCAGTGAAACATCTGCCTCTTCTTAGATCTCATTTAAGCATTAAAATAACTTTGATTTCCTGTTCAAACAAAATGTGCCAGTTTCTGCAGAGATTCTATGACAGAAAAAGTGAAATTTGCTTTTAACTTGGCAATTAAATTTTCATTATGAGTGGTAATTAGGAAAGAAGCTTCAAACAACTTACAATCTTCATCCCATGCTATTTCCTTCCTTTGCAAACAGATTAGTTTCCTTTATGTACTGGGGACAGCCTCTGTCACTCATTTGTAACTTTCAAGAATAGAAGAGGCAGAAGCTGCTAACTGTCAGTTTCCATGCTTTCCCTCCCATGAGCTGCTTTCTTCTCCTTGTGTGTGGTACCCCATGAGGCCTACTCCATATAAGGCCACTTTTCACCAGCATTCCACTCCTACTCGGGGTAAGGGAAGAAATGAGCATTCATTAAATGCTTGTTGGGGCTGGGCGTGGTGGCTTATGACCTTAATCCCAGCACTTTGGGAGGTGAAGGCAGGAGGATTACTTGAGCCCAGGAATTCAAGACAAGCTTGGGCAATATAGTGAGACCCTACGTCTACAAAAAATTAAAAAATTAGCCAGGTCATGCACAACTGTAATCCTAGCTACTTGGGAGGCTGAGACAAAGAGGAAGTTTGAGGCTATAGTGAGCTACGATCATGATTGTGCCACTGCATTCCAGCCTGGGCAGCAGAGTGAGACTCTGTCTGTAATAAATAAGTATTAAATAAAGACTATTGGGTATCAGGCACCATGTTTGTTATGTTCTGTGGATTCACTCATTTTGAATCCCTTTGGAACCCTGTAAGATGGGGGTATTATTCCCATTTTACAAATGAGAAAACTGAGAAAGGTTAAATCATTTACTTGAAGCCAGACAGCTGGCAAGTGGATGTCAGGATTTGTACCCAGACCTGAGTCTTTGTTTCCTGCCTGTGCTTATGCCATTGTGTAGTGAATACAGTGTGAATCCCCCAGAAAGGATTCTTGATTGACATCAGTAAAGACTTCATCAAGGTCCTGTTTCTCAGGGGTACAGAACACTTTTCTAAAGCCAGCCTGTTGTTGGGTGAGCCCCTGTGAGCAGGCATCTGAGTTAAAATTGGCAGTTGGAAGACCTGTGCAGACTATGGCAATGAGTCAAGTGCATGTCTTGAGCCTGGTTTATTCTACTCAGAAGAGCATAGAACTGTCCTTTTACTGGTTCTTCATTTAACAGAGAAATTAAACCCCTTTGTCCTTCCTCTGTGGGGGAAATTTTCCCCAAAGGTACTGGTTATGGGTTGTGAGGCAGTGTGAGGGGGCATTAGGCTGCTAACTTGCCTCTGGCAGTGGCTGCAGCTCAAGAGAATGAAGTGCTTCCCTTGTGATGCACTTGCTGTCGCACAAACACAGGAGGGCCAAGGTGTTGCTGGCTGTCCAGACCATTGTTAGCACAACCACAGCTGAGCTCTAATTGCCAGGCTTTGTTCCCAGCAATGATTTACAAAACAGAAAGTGCCCAGCTGGATTGCTAGATGCCCAGGTGGGTTGTGCAAAGCTGATAGTTGGAAACATTCAGTCTTTGGACTTTCCACCAAGAAAATTTGATGTCATTATTTGGAAAAATCCAGGACATGGACCAAAAAAAAAAAAAAAGGAAAGAAACAAAACAAAAAAAACACATGTCTTTGAGCATCCTTCATATATAACATTCTACTGAAAGTGCTGAGGAATATATATATGTGAGTTAGCCAGGGTTCCTGCCCTCAAGGGATTTGTTCATTGATTTAGCAGATAATTGCTGAGCACCTGCTGTATAGAAGACTCTGTTCTAGAACTGAGAATATAGCTGTGGGCAAGACAGAGGCACTGTCTTGACTCTTGTGTTTTGAGAAAGTTAATAGAAAGTTAACTAATTCCAGATAGCAGACTCTTGTATTTTGAGAAAATTAACAGAAAGTTAACTAACCAAGCAACTCCAGATAGCAGTAAGTGTTTTAGAAGGCAGTCCTGCCCTGGTACCATTTCCCTAGCCCTGGCCTTTTGGTCTCAGCTAGACTGCTTACCCCTGTTACCCCATCTGTCCCCACGCTGCCACCTGAGGTGCTGCACCATATGCAGCTATGATCCTGCTTCTCTGTGGCTCCTCATTGCCTAGAAGATTAAAAGCCCAAACGTTAGTTGCAAAGGCCATTCTGATCTTGCTTCTTATTCTGTTCTCCAGCTTCTCCTTCCTCTCCATGTTTTTCCCTATCAACTCCAGCAACAGTGGTCTCCTTGCAGATTCCCAGACAGGCTATGCTGTTTTGCTGTTTCATGCCTTTTTTAAAATTGTGGTGAAAAAACATGGCTGGGCCGTGGTGGCTCATGCCTGTAATCTTAGCACTTTGGGAGGCCAAGGCTGGAGGATCACTTGAGGTCAGGAGTTCAAGACCAGCCTGGCCAACATGGTAAAACCAGGTCTCTATTAAAAACACAAAAATTAGCCAGACATGGTGGCAGATGCCTCTAGTCCCAGCTACTCAGGAGGCTGAGACAGGAGAATACCTTGAACCTGGGAGGGAGGGGTTGCAGTGAGCCAATATTACACCACTGCACTCCAGCCTGGGCAAAAAGAGTGAGGCTCCGTCTCAAAATAAAGAAATAAAGAAAAATAAAATTGTGGTTGAAAAACACAATTTAACATGAGATATGCCCTCTTAACAGATTTTCAGTGTTCAGTACAGTATTGTTAACTGTAATTATCATGCTGTCCAGCAGATCTCTAGAACTTCATCCTGCATAATTGAAACTTTGTACATGTTTTAGACCTTCTTGCCCAAACCTGATTTTCCCTCTTCCTGGTACAAATTTGCTCATTCTACAATATGCCCTCAAGGCATTTCTTTCTATCAAACTATCCCTCTTCTCCCCTCTCCCCTCTCCCGGCTCTTCCCTCTCCCCTCTCCCCTCTCCCTTCCTCCCCTCTCCCCTCTCCCCCTCCCTACTCTTAGCCTACCTACTTTGTATTTGTCACTGCTATATTGTGTGAGATATGCTTGCTGAAACTAATATATTGTCTGCCTGACTCTCGCATTGAGTCATGGGCTCCTTTTATAAGAGGCCTATTTTTTGTTGATCTGGTTATCTTCTTTTTCTTTCTTTTTCTTTTTTTTTTTTTTTTTAGACTTGGTCTTGTTCTGCCACCCAGGCTGGAGTGCAATGGTGCGATCTCAGCTCACTGTAACCTCTGCCTCCCAGGTTCAAGCCATTCTCTGGCCTCAGCCCCCCAAGTAGCTGGGATTACAGGCATGCACCACCATGCCCAGCTAACTTTTTTGTATTTTTAGTAGAGACGAGGTTTCACCATGTTGGCCAGGCTGATCTTGAACTCCTGACCTCAGATGATCCATCTGGCATACATCTGGTTATCTTCAATATGTTACCAAGGCCTAACATTGATCTCATTTGATGTTATTGGGTGTTTTTAGATGGATAGAATTAATAATTCTTGTGGCAATGTAAGTATCATAGGTATAAACAGTGGAGTCTGGTCAAAGGGCATTAGGAGCACCTAATTCTGACTGGTTAATTCTGACTGGGGTTGAGATTTGAGGGGATAAAGGACTAGAAATGGCTTTATGCAAGGGTGGAAGGTAGGAGGCATTTGACCATACACCTGAGGGATGGCTGAGATTTCAAAAGGCACAATGTGGACAAGGAGATTATAAAACTTTTTTTTTTTTGATGGAGAGTCACGTTGATCCCATGTTGGCAGTGAGAGTCCAGTTCTCCACACAGAGGCATTCACTCAGGGTATTTGTGACTGAATGAATCAGCCCATAAAAGCCTTCCTCAGCCAGCCGCCTGCCCTCGCCCCAGGTAGTCAAGTAAGTGGAACTGGCTTTCTTACTTAGGAGCTTAAATGGCTACTACCCATGGAGAGGGACTGGTGTTTTTATGTGTAAGCACTTAAAGACAGCCACATTAGTATGGATAAAATCAGCCACGTAATGGAATGCTCTTAGCCATTAATTTTTTTCAACTTTCCCATGTGAGGCCCTTTTGAATAGAAGCCACTAGTTTTTACAAATCTTTTGGATTTCACTTGAATCAAAATGATTTGTTTTACAAAAATAGATAGTTTTTTCTTTTATTTAAAGCAATGTAAGTTCCGTCATTCATTTAAAACCAATGAAAGGATAAATCTGAATATAATGGTATGTTAGAAAATGAGTGATGTACAAAATAAGGAGTTAATGCTGATTCCATAGTGTTTAGGCATATAGTCATCTAACCTGTTTTTAAAAATACTTCTAGTTACAATAGGCTATATGTGCTTTCCACTTTGTTTTCTTGCTAGTATTCTAAATGTGTGTCCATCTTTTACTCTTGAAGGAAAACACCGACTCTTGACAGTGAGGTCTATGGCATTTTCTTTTTTTTTTTTTTTGAGACGGAGTTTCGCTCTTGTTACCCAGGCTGGAGAGCAATGGCGCCGTCTCGGCTCACCGCAACCTCCGCCTCCTGGGTTCAGGCAATTCTCCTGCCTCAGCCTCCTGAGTACCTGGGACTATAGGCACGCGCCGCCATGCCCAGCTAATTTTTTGTATTTTTAGTAGAGACGGGGTTTCATCATGTTGACCAGGATGGTCTCGATCTCTTGACC